GTATATCTATCCGCAGCGCCCTAAGCCCTCGACATGCTAACGTGGAATGTCCACGACGGCTGTGAATATAAATTAAGCAAACCACCCGGATCTACATGTTAATCGTCGTTCGTGCGTCCATCTGTTTGCCCATCGATGTAACTTACCCGACTGTTATATTCTCTCTGCCCGTACGTACACGTGCACCGCTGGATGAGTCCGATTCCAGCTCATGGCCAACACCAGTGACGTTAATCTGACAATTTGGTAAAACTGGAAGAAAATAACTGTAATAATAATAAAGTCAGCATAAATTTGTATTTAAAGCTTCTTTCGTGACTGCACGGATTCATATTCTTGGTTATTTCGGTAAAGTCACGTAGAAGGAAAATAATACAATAATAAAAATATAAAAAATAAAAATTCTCACGACGTTTCGACTGCAACACAAGCAATCATCATCATCATCATCAGGTGTGAAATCTACGGCAAGAATTTTTTTTCACATTTTCTTGCTGTGGATTTCACACCTGATGACGATTGCTTGTGTTGCAGTCGAAACGTCGTGAGAATTTTTATTGTTTATTATTTGTATAATTTTATTATTTCCCTTCTACGTGACTTTACCGAAAGAACCAAGAATATAAAGTCAACATAGCTGAGATCTATAGGAGATGGCTCGGCAGGTCAGAGACGCGCGTGTGTGTGCGTGCGAGGTTTCTCTCTCACGGGCGATAGTTTGTCGAGAGGATCAGATGGTTTACGAGCGGAATCAGAGTCAATAATTCGACGCGGCTTCCCGCGCAACCTGAGCGCCGTTGTGACGTCACACGCATCTCCCACGTGGAGCAGGCGACACGTGACGAACGCCGTTGTGACGTCACACGCATCTCCCACGTGGAGCAGGCGACGCGTGACGAACGCCTTTGTGACGTCACACGCATCTCCCACGTGGAGCAGGTGACGCGTGACGAACGCCTTTGTGACGTCACACGCATCTCCCACGTGGAGCAGGTGACGCGTGACGAACGCCTTTGTGACGTCACGCGCATCTCCCACGTGGAGCAGGTGACGCGTGACGAACGCCTTTGTGACGTCACACGCATCTCCCACGTGGAGCAGGTGACGCGTGACGAACGCCTTTGTGACGTCACGCGCATCTCCCACGTGGAGCAGGTGACGCGGGACGAACGCCATTGTGACGTCACGCGCATCTCCCACGTGGAGCAGGTGACGCGAGACGAACGCCGTTGTGACGTCACATGCATCTCCCACGTGGAGCAGGTGACGCGAGACGAACGCCTTTGTGACGTCACACGCATCTCCCACGTGGAGCAGGTGACGCGAGACGAACGCCATTGTGACGTCACACGCATCTCCCACGTGGAGCAGGTGACGCGAGACGAACGCCATTGTGACGTCACACGCATCTCTCACGTGGAGCAGGTGACGCGAGACGAACGCCATTGTGACGTCACACGCATCTCCCACGTGGAGCAGGTGACGCGAGACGAACGCCTTTGTGACGTCACACGCATCTCCCACGTGGAGCAGGTGACGCGAGACGAACGCCATTGTGACGTCACACGCATCTCTCACGTGGAGCAGGTGACGCGAGACGAACGCCTTTGTGACGTCACACGCATCTCCCACGTGGAGCAGGCGACGCGAGACGAACGCCTTTGTGACGTCACACGCATCTCCCACGTGGAGCAGGTGACGCGAGACGAACGCCTTTGTGACGTCACACGCATCTCCCACGTGGAGCAGGTGACGCGAGACGAACGCCTTTGTGACGTCACACGCATCTCCCACGTGGAGCAGGTGACGCGAGACGAACGCCATTGTGACGTCACACGCATCTCCCACGTGGAGCAGGCGACGCGTGACGAACGCCGTTGTGACGTCACACGCATCTCCCACGTGGAGCAGGTGACGCGAGACGAACGCCTTTGTGACGTCACACGCATCTCCCACGTGGAGCAGGTGACGCGAGACGAACGCCTTTGTGACGTCACACGCATCTCCCACGTGGAGCAGGTGACGCGAGACGAACGCCTTTGTGACGTCACACGCATCTCCCACGTGGAGCAGGTGACGCGAGACGAACGCCATTGTGACGTCACACGCATCTCCCACGTGGAGCAGGCGACGCGTGACGAACGCCGTTGTGACGTCACACGCATCTCCCACGTGGAGCAGGTGACGCGAGACGAACGCCTTTGTGACGTCACACGCATCTCCCACGTGGAGCAGGTGACGCGAGACGAACGCCTTTGTGACGTCACACGCATCTCTCACGTGGAGCAGGTGACGCGAGACGAACGCCATTGTGACGTCACACGCATCTCCCACGTGGAGCAGGCGACGCGTGACGAACGCCGTTGTGACGTCACACGCATCTCCCACGTGGAGCAGGTGACGCGTGACGAACGCCTTTGTGACGTCACGCGCATCTCCCACGTGGAGCAGGCGACGCGAGACGAGTTGGTAGCTGACCCCTTCAAGGGTCTGGGAGGTTGTAGGCGTTGAGGACCATCCATCCCTCTCCTGATTGTGTTCCTTACGAGGTGACAACGGTCGTGACGAGGCGAAAGCAGATGTCCCCGCGTGACTGTGCAGATGTCCTCAATAAGCCTCTGCGTCTGGCATTGATGAGTCGTTTCGTCTCCTGTATTTCCACACCGCAGCTCAAGTCTCCCGTAAATCACGTGACGTCTCTGTGGGACCACCGCCGCCACTCTGAATCCCTTACTCCGCTCGCATTCATATCCGTCTATCTCCTTGTCCAAATCAGCCCAGGCCTCCCGTAACTCACGTGACTTCTCTGCATTTCTCTGAATCTCTCCCCTCTCACCGCAGCCTCCGTGTAGCTCACTACTCGTGCCCCCTCCGTCCTTCTCTCTTGTGCCTCTCTTCCCTCCCCTCTCCATCATCATCATCACCACCACCACCACCACCGCCCCCCTCGGTCGCGAGCGGGAATCGAAGTCGGGTCGCTCGCTGCGTCCGTAGCACCGACTGCAAAAACCGCCGCACTACCGATCCTCCATACCTCGTCCAAAGTGGGGAGCGGTGGCGCAGTGGTTAGCGCGCTGTGCTAGGAACCCAGCGACCGGTCCTAGGCCTCCCCCTTAGGTCGACTCAGCCTCAAACGAGTACCTGGTGCGATGCGTAAACATCGCCACTTGAGCGTGGTGCTGGCCACCCACCTCCCTCGCTTTCCTTGCCGGCCGTCGTAGATGGTGCTTCTCGCTCACAGCCCTTGGCCCAACAGTCTCTTAAAGGCCTCACGGTAGATCTTTGAAAAAAAATATTTTCCACACTACAACAACAACAACAACCGCCATTCGCCACTAAGTAGCAGTGACGTCACCACGACGCTTGTGCCAGGCTATGTGCACCTTGAGGCCATGTGAAGTTTCGAACGCCCGCTGGCAGGAGATCACGGGGCAGACCCAGCAGGTGCCACAGGTCGATTGACTGAGATGACTGGGATGACTGGCTGATGCACCACCTGTGCCCTCTACTGTGCCAAATTGCCGTGCTTTAGCCACCCGGCGCTCCGCTCGTTGTTGTGAGCGTCGCTCCTCTTACATCACACGTGCACACACACACAAGTCAGCAAATGGAATGTGCTGATGATGGCGATGATAATACTCAGCCAATACTACGGGGATGCCTCTAATTAAGATGTAATTACGGGAGAAAAATAACACACTCACAGCGGCGCCTCATCCAGTTGAAGAGTTGGGGTTTTAGTTTTTTTCTTTAAACAAAAAATATTGTCATTTTTGTAAAATCCCCAGTCGCTGAGATTAACTCTAATGATGTCAAATCATTATCATCACCACCATCGGCTGTCATTTTCAAATAAGCATCATCATCACCATCCATAATACAGGTTTTTTGGGGTTAGATCGCATAAATATATAAATGTGTCGTGATTATGATCATCATCATGATGTTGATCATCACCATTGGCTATCATTGTCAAATAATCATCATCATCATCATCACCGGCTGTCATTGTCACAATCATCATCATCATCGGTTGTCATCAAATAATCATCATCATCATCATCGGCTGTCACTGTCACAATTATCATCATCATCATCGGTTGTCATTACCAAATCATCATCATCATCATCGGCTGTCACTGTCACAATTATCATCATCATCATCATCGGTTGTCATTATCAAAATCATCATCATCATCATCGGCTGTCATTGTCAAATAATCAAAGGCGGTCGGGCGGGCGTGGTGTTGGCCACCCCACCCGCCCGAGCGGCGTTCCGGCTTTCACAGGTTGCTCGCTAACACCACTTGCCCCTACAGTCTTTGTCTGCTACCCGCTGGGTGGACAGAGGCGGCGTTGGAGTTGTAGAGGGGGGGGGGGGGGCGCGATGGTGCGGACAGCAGCTCAGACAACTTGCACTTCGACAGCCTGCCGCGCTCGGAGATCGATCAAACATCGAGCGGGCGAACCTCGGCATTGTTGAAATCTCGTGCGCTCACCCCACCACCACCGCCACCAACTAACAGCGTACGTCACGCGGCTGCAAGCGATGAGTTGAACAAGAGCGGAGGAGAGGTGGCGAAAGAGAGACGGGAAGGTGTAGTCGTCGACTGGGCATCCCCTAGGTCGACTCGGCCTCAAATGAGTACCTGGCGCGGTGTGTAAACATCGCCACTAGGAAGACAAAGGCGGTCGGGGCGTGGTGCTGTGCCGGGCTTCATAGGTGCTCGCTAACAGCACTTGCCCCAACAGTCTGTTGAGGCTACACGGGGGATCTTTGTCTTTGTTTGTTCTGCACGGGTGGGGAAGAACAGTGGGGGGGGGGGGGGTGGAGATATAAAGAGGGACGGGCGGGGTGATCCTCGGCTCTCGACCAATGAGCGTCAGCCCCGGTGGGCGCGGCTCTGGGGAGCCAATAGGATCGCTTGTGGGCGGGGCATCGTCTTTATTTAAACCCACACCCGGGAGCAGTGCTCCACAGTTCGTTAGCGGGCAGAGGAGAGACAGCGCAGAGAGAGAGAGGGGGAAAGAGCTACACGGGGAGAGAAGGAATCCACTGGGATATATACACATACGGGGAGAGGTACAGAGAGAGAGAGAGAGAGACGAAGACACCGACAGACACGAGAAGCGAGAGCGAGGAGGAGACAGACGGGGAGAAAGGTATTAACATCGGGAAATCAAAACACGTGGAGATAGATAAACACGCAGAGAGAGGGAGACGGGGGAAGAGACATATAACCAAGAGATAATAGGAGTGGGGTCGTTGCGATTGCATAGACCAGCGCACATCAGGAGCGTACGCAAAATCATCATCAGCAGCAGCAGCAAGAACAGTAGCAGTGGTAGCATCACATGCAGTAACGGCAAAAATCATCATCATCAGCAGCAACGGCAGCAGCAGCAACTAGAGCAACGAAAAAAAATCATCAACGGCAGCAGCAAGTGGAACGCGAGACTCGCAGACACAATCAATCAACGGCCACGCGGTTCATCATGTCTTCTCTGATGATCTCCCTCCATCTCATGCTGCTGCTACTGCTGCTACTCGTCACGTCAATCAGCTCGCAGCAACAGCAGCATCAACAGCAGCAACAACAGCAGCAGCAGCACGACCTCGGCCACTCGCGTTTCGTGTGCACCGCCATCCCCGCCGACGTGGACGCGGCGTGCCCGCTGCCCGCGTTGTCGGGACTCTCGTCGGGCGCGAGCGACGAGGCGCGCACAGGGGTCCTGGAGCTTCGCGAGACGGTGCTGCGCCAGAAAGAGACCATTCTCGAGCAACGGGAGAGCATCAGGGACCTCACCACCAAACTCCAGCGATGTGAAGGCACGGACACGCTCGCTTCCTCGTCGTCGTCGTCCAAGCACATGCACGCGCGCCTCCCCGGAGCGAAACAGGCGCCGGGCAAGTGGCGAGACACGATGGGCGACCTGCCCCGTGACCCCGGGGAGGTGATCGAGCAGCTGGGCAGGACGGTGCAGTCGCTCAAGGATCGGTTGGAGAGTCTGGAGGTGAGTGGAGGACACGGCGCGGGAGGGTTGGTGGTGGTGGAAGTGGTAGGTGATGGTGGTTGTGGGTGAGGTGTGTCGGACGGGCGCGCGTGGGGTGAGCGAGTGATGGCGTGGTATGTGTTAGGAGTGGGGAGCGGTGGCGCAGCGGTTAGCGCTACGCTGCGCTACGAACCTGGCGGACCCCGGGGTTCGATTCCCGCTCACGGCCAACACCGGTGACGATTATCCGAACTGGTCCTGGGCCTCCGCTAGGTCGACTCGGCCTCAAATGAGTACCCGGTGCGGTGTCTAAACGCCACTACTAGGGAGACAAAGGCGGCCGGGCGTGGTATTGGCCACCCCACCCCCTCGTGTGCCGTGTCGGCCTTCATAGGTGCTACTCGCTAACGGCACTTGCCCCACACAGTCTGTTAAGGCTAGACGGGACATCTTTGTCTTTGGCGCAGTGGTTAGCGTGCTGCGCTACGAACCCGGCGACCCGAGTGACGATCCATGATCTGAACCGGTCCTGGGTTCTCCTCGGCGTCCAATGAGTACCTGCTGCGGTGTGTAGTAAACATCGCCACTGGGGAGACAAAGGCGGCCGGGCGTGGTGCTCGCCACTCACCCCCTCGTGTGCCGTGCCGGCCTTAACGGGCGTTCGCTAACACCAACTTGCCCCAACAGTCTGACGAGGCTACATGGGGGTTTGTTGTCTTTTGTGGGGGGTGAGGGCGGGTGGGGGGCGGCGGGGGGGAGAGCGGTGGCGCAGTGGTTGGTGCAATGCGCTACGACCCCAGCGACCCGAGCGCTGTTCCCCGCTCACGGCTCGACACGAGGAGCCTCGACGAGGTCGACCCGAAGACCGACGGTCGTGTGCGGACGTCGGCACTTGGTGGAAAGACAAAGGCGCTCGGGCGACCACACCGACCCCACCAATCGGCCTTAATAGGTGCTCGCTAACAATCGCTGGAGTCCAACAAGTCGGGGCGGGGGGGGAGGGGCCGCTCTTTGTGCTTGTGGACGTGTGGGCGAATGGTCGTCCCTCGGGGGGGGGGGGGGGGGTTTGGGGGGGCGGTGGTTTGGGGGGGTGGGGGGGGTGCAGTGGCGTGAGAGGGGCAATTGCAGCCCTGCGCCTTTACCCCCCCCTCCCTCTCCACCGTCGTTGTCTCGTTACGAGATAAAAACAAAAGGGAGCCCCCCCCCCAAGCCCCCCCCCAAGCCTTCTGAGACCGTTCGCAATCACCGTGGCGCGAGCCCGCGCCGTCCTAATTGGGCAGTAACGTGGCAGCACCACCTCGCCAACAGCACTTGCCCCAACAGTGTGTTGGAGGCTACACGGGGGATCTTTGTCTTCGTTGGATCTGTGTGTGTGCGTGTCTCTAAATAAGGAGTTAACGGGCGCGGATTGTTATAAAATTAGCACTGGGGAGACAAAGGCGGCCCGGCGTTGCGCTGACAACATCCTCCCGCTCGCTAACGGCACTTGCCCCAACCGTCTGTTGAAGGCTACACGGGGGATCTTTGTCTTTGTTCCTGGGTAGCTGGGAGCGGCAGCGTTGCCGGCTTAGCGCGCTGCGCGTAAAAAAAACAAACTCCGGCCAGCCGCAGTTCGATTCCAGCTCGCGATGACCTGGAGCGGCCCTGGGCCTCCCCCTAGGTCGACTTAGCCTCAAATGAGTAACCCGCCACCGAGGGAGACAAAGGCGCTCGCGCGTCGTTCTGGACCACTCACCCAAACCTCGTGCTCGCTCGCAGCGCTTGGCACCCAACATTGGGCTACAAACTCAGGGCCAAGGCTGAGTGGCGAGTGATGTGTAAACCTGCAAAGGCTTTCCCATAAGTCGTTCACAGCCTTGGCCGAATGCCTGGCGCGGTGTTTAAAAATACATATCCATAAGCACCGGGGAGACAAAGGCGGCTGGGTGTGTGCAGTTCTGGCCACACCGCTCTCTCGCATGTCACGCTGCTCGCTGCGCCTGCTGAAGATGAATCTGATAGCGACGCTGATGATGATGCATCTGCTGATGGCGATGATCATTTTGGCCGATCGTGATATCCTCGGCCACGGATTATCCCGTTTTTAATCGCGAATACAAGCTTTGATTCAAGATCATCACGAAATAAAACTCGGGTTCGGGATCGGACGTAGATTGCCTTCCCTCCTCGAGCGCTGAGCGAGTGTTGCGGCATTGAAGCTTCCCCTCCTGTTCTACACAGCCCCGCAAAACGTGATCGGTGGAAATTCCCCGTTCTCATGGCGCGGGGTGAGAGGAGGGGAGCCAGTCTATCCGCAGGTGCGCAACCACCGTCGCCTTCACCGCGAATCTGCACCAGTACTCGTTTTATCCACCCGGGATGGGTGCGTGATGGGCTTTAGTCATCGCCTAAGCTACAAGACCCGCGCGCGGCGCGCTGAATTCGCACGCGAGGAATCCCCGCTGGAGGAGGGGGGGGGGGCTCCCTTGGGAGGGGGCGGGGCGGGGCGGGGGGGGGCTGTTGTGAGGGTGCAGTGGAGAGGGAGAGAGAGAGAGGAATCGTTTGGAGCGGCCCCTTAACGATGTCCAAGAATTCTCACCTCGATGCCCCCCTCCCCACCGCTTCTCTAAATATAATATACATAAAGGTCCCCCCGGGTTAGGGCAAGTGCTCCCATGAAGGTCGGAGCGGCACACGAAAGGGGGGGGTGGGTGGCCAGCACCACGCTCGGCCGCCTTTATCTCCCCAGTGGCGATGAGTCGACATAGGGGGGGGCCAGGGGCGGTTCGGAAAATCGTCACCGCTGTTGGTGGCCGTGAGCGGGAATCGAACTCGGGTCGCCGGGTTTCGTAGCGCAGCGCGTTAATTACCGCACCACCGCTCCCCTCCCACGACCACACACACACAGTGACCCCAATCCTGACTTTTAACCTCCTAGCACCGGATTAACCAATCCCAGCGATATGAACGAGAGCGGCTGACGTTCACCCACCCACCACCACCACAGGGGCCCTTACCTCACCATTGGTGGGGACTCTTAATTTGAAACTGGGAAACTCTGGCAACCCCCCCCCCCGGCTACACCAATCAGGCGTGTGCCCCCCCCCCCCCACCTGGCAACCCATCAGCCCCCCCCCCTCCACTCCCCCTCTGTCACCGCTTGTGACGTAACCGCGAATGCCCGACGGGATTACGGTGCGGTAACTCGATTCAGCCACCAGCCGCCGTCATCCGTCGTCACGAGCCAGGGTCGATCCACCGCTGGGCTAGCACCATCACCGTGACCTTCAGAGAAAGTGATCAATATATTTCAATAAAACGGGCGACGTTTCGAGCAATGGCTCTAATTCAGTGCTGGGTTAAATGAATCGCCGCCTCTCGTGACGCCTGCGTGTCTGCTGTGCGTGTGACGTTTGTCCTCTGTCGTGTTTGCTCACCCACTCCCTCGTGCGCCGTGGCGGCCTTCACAGGTGCGACTCGCTAAGAGCCCTTGACCCAAAAGTATAGTGAGGCTAGACGGGGGAGCTTTGTCTTTGTGTGTGTGTAGTGGTTAGCGCGCTGTGCTGTGAACCCAGAGACTCGAGTTGGATTCCCGCTCGCGGCCAATACCAACGAAAATTACATGAAGCGGTCCTGAGCCTCCCCTAGGTCGACTCAGCCTCAAATAAACACCTGGTGCTGTGTGTCGTAAACATCGCCGCTTGGGAGACAAAGGCGGCCGGGCGTGGTGCTGGCCACCCCACCCCCTCGTGTGCCGTGCCGGCCTTCATAGGTGCTACTCGCTAACAGCACTTGCCCCAACAGTATGTTAAGGCTATTCGGGGGGCGGGGATCTTTATCTTTGTGTGTGTGTGTAGCCAAGCCACGCCAGCTTTATTTAATCTGTGCTCGCTAATCGCACAACGGGGCTTTATTTATTTATTAACGTCTGTAGCCCGGTGGATTTTGTCTTTGTAACGCTCTCAAACTCGAGTGCCCCGTCCGGTCCTCCGTCCATTCATAACTGGAGGTAGGAAGGGGGCAGAATGGGGGGGGGGGGCGAGAGAAAGGGGGGGGGCAGCGATATTCCTCGTAACGATAACCCAACGTGAAACCGGACTGGCATGCCTCGGGTTGTTGCTATCTTTGTGGACTCGCTAATCGATAACAACAACAACAACATCGCCCGAGATCTTGGTGAGACGTAAACTCGGGGAGGTCGTCACGATCGACGGCGTTTAGCAAACCTGCGAACAAGCGAGCTCGTTAGCGTCCATAGCTGCGGATTAAAAACAAATGTAAACCAACTCGCTGATGAGACGCTGCAGGCAGGGGTCCATGCGTGTGCATGGTTGTTCGTGAACTCGTTTTCGTGCGAGTAACGAGTGCGTGAGTGAACGGGTTTGTTTTGTGGGTGACGTGGAATGGATTTTATTAAGACAGCGCATCAAATCCCTGATCCCTCCTTCCCTCCGTGTCTTCCACCAAACCCCCACCCCTCACCTGGATTGCCCCTCACCTGGCCCACTCCTCACACCTCATTCCTCACCACCACCGCTCACCGTGCGCGCACACGCAAACTCATAACATGCACATACAAAACCATAATACACGCATGCACAATGGCGCGCGCACACACACACACCACATGAATGCATACCCATACACAACATAAAACCGTAACACAAACACACCTCCCATCTGCAATACAATCCACACCTTACCACAACTCCTTTCATTACACACTCACACACAAAGCCCATGCCACACACGCATCACCTTAACACAACACACACATCTCCCATCTCATACCCATTACCACACACACACACATCTCCCATCTCATACCCATTACCACACACACACACACACCTCCCATCTCATACCCATTACCACACACACACACATCTCATACCCATTACCACACACACACATCTCCCATCTCATACCCATTACCACACACACACATCTCCCATACTCACAATACATTCTACCACACACCCCACAAACGCCCCATCAACACCTCCACCCGCACCCGCCCTCAATCACCCCTCCCTGTACCCCCACCACCCTCAACCCCCCCCCCCCCACCTGTCCCCACTTAACAGCAGAAGCACCGCGCTAACTCAACGCGCCCGCAGGGCTCCACTGGCGGTGTCGGTGCCGGCGGCGGCGGCGGCGGCGTTGGTGGTAGCGCCCACTCGCTGCGGGAGTTCCTGCACGAACGTCTGGGCGACGTGGGGAAACATCTGCACGGCGAGGGAGGAGCAGCAGGAGGAGGAGACGGGGAGGGCGGAGGTCATCACAACGATAGCGACGGGCACCCTCACCACCACCAGCAGCAGCAGCAGCAGAGGATACGGCCAGAGTCCACTCTCACCTCCGTGCATCGCCTGCCGAATTTGGACAAAAGTAAGGAGACCGCTGGTGGCCGTGGTGGTGGCGCGGGCCACAGGGTAGGCGGCCGGGCGGCTGTCGTGGTGGGGGCGGCGGTGGCTGCGATGATGATGATGTCTGGGTTGCTCGCTTTGTAGCCGAGAATTTGGGACGTCAGCCGCTCGCCCATCCTCCATCCCGCCCGCTCGCCCGCCCGCTCGATCCATCGCTCGCTCGTCTCACGTTTCTCGCCCCTTCACGTGTCCGGTTCCGATGAGCGCCGAGCTCATTCGCTTTGCTCAAATGTCGGTGTGGAGGGTTCTCATTATTCTGCTTATTATTATTCTTCTTCTTCTTCTCGTGGGCCTGGTTGTTCCTCCTGGGGGTAGTGGGTGGGTGGGGGGTGGGGGGATTAGTGGTCGCAGTATCGCGTGGCGAAACCTCGAGAGGGCAAATTGCTCGACGCACGCTGTTGGAAGGACCGCGCAGCGTCGCTTGATATTTTGCGGTAAATCCTCGGGCAGATGGTCGGTGTCTCGTCTCTCGCTGCCAGACAGAGAGAGAGAGAGAGACACCCACCCCTCCCAAACCCTCCACTCCACGTGAACGAGAGACTTCCAGCGCTCCACTGCTCTCTCGCTTGCTAAGAGGGAAAGATGACCTGTCTTGCAAGCCCGATTTTATCGGACTTGCCACCGGGATGAGATATTCACGTGCCCTTTAGAGCGGTGGGCGGAATTGCCGCGGCGTATGCATGGGGCCTGGTGCTCAGAACGAAATGAGGAGGTGGTGGTGGTGGAGGCGGTGGAGGGGGTGGGGGCGTCCAATTACCTGCCCCCCCCCACCACCCCCCCCACACCCCCGCCCACCCCCCCACACCCCCGCCCCACCCCACCACCTCATTGCACCTCGGTACCTGGGCCCCACTCGGGTCTGTGAGTTCCTGGTGCAGTGGCATCACCTGCGATGCAAAATATTCGTATATTTTGCCAATTTATGAATGCATTTGGGACGCGGTGAGCCTCTGTGAGTGGAATTCCAGTTCTGCATTATGCGCAGTGGCTCAAAATTAAGTGTACTCCTCCTGCCTGGCTCGTTCCACGATTTATTTATTGCACTTTTTAATGATTTTGCTAACTATGAAAAACGATTGAAGACAAAATAAATAATGTAAGTCAAAACATTTTTTGTTGTTGTAAGAAAACTAATTTAAAATTCTTCGACCCCGAGGCACCTTTTAAAAAATTGCCATTCCTCAGCCGGCACCACTCCAACTGACTGCTGGACATCTGTGAGAAAGAGCTTAATAGCTCATCGGATTCCTCCAGGACGAATAAATATTACGACCATTCTGACTCGCAGAGTTACCGACGATCATCGATGAAAGTGAAAACGCGTGCCGCCCAAGAGGTTTCCGTGCGAATGTGACCCCTCGATTGATTTGTGGGCTGGACCACGAGGGCGATGGATCAGAGCACCACTCGGAAGACTCCGTTCACGGAGGGGTTAAAGTGCGTCATGGTCACCCGGGGAAGAGCGCGCGATGATTTGGACAATTCATTGCTTCGCGCGCTGCGCTGTGAACCCCAGTAACCGAGTTCGATTCCCACTCTCGGCCAACACCGGCGACGATTATCTGAACCGGTTCTGGGCCTCCCCTAGGTCGACTCGGCCTCAAATGAGTACCTGGTGCTGGTGTGCAAAACATTAGTACTGGGGAGACAAAGGCGGTCGGGCGTGGTGCTGAGCCCATCCCACCCACCACCTCCTCCACGTGTGCCGTGCCGGCCTTCATAGATGCTCGCTAACAGCACTTGCCCCAACAGTCTGTTAAGGCGACACGGGGGATCTTTGTCTTTGTGTGTGCTTGTGTGTGTACGTGTGGATACGTGTGGATACGTGTGTGTAGGTGTGCGTTTTTCACACTTTTTAAAAGGCTAACGCTAAATAAGAGACCAAACACTCCAATGCTAATTCAATATTTGTCCTATAACGATTTTACACATACACGATAATTTGCTTGGTTTTAAGAGTAGGCTTAAGAGAAACTAAGAGGTCTAGGATCTGGTTGGGTGGTGTAGCTAGTCCTGGGATCTGGTTGGGTGATGTAGCTAGGATCTGGTTGACTGGTGTGGCTAGTGCGAGGATCTGGTTGGCTTGATTGGTTAAGGCTCACCTAGCATCTGACCGGCTGCTCGGGTTACCGGTTTCGCCAAAATAATTTGCAGCGGCTACATTTTCCCCGATTGTGATTGGAGGAACAAAGGCGGCCGAGAAGGATAACAATAAAAAACCCAGCCGACTCAGATCGGCCGACGATTCATCGTCGCGGATAATGGCTCTCGCTTAACCGCCACGGCAGCTCAAAGGGCCCTGCAATCGCATCTCGCCTGCAACTATTCCAGTGCCATGCTGCAGTGTTAGGGCAAAAGGGGGCCCACCCCCCCCCCCCCCCTGGGACCCACTGCCCCCCCCCCCCCCTGGTCCCCCCCTCCCGGGACCCACCTGCAGCACCGGCTTCCACGTGGGGTGTCATCTGCCGTGGGATTTCCCCCCACTTTAAATAATTTACGGGTCAGGGGGGTGAACATTTTGTAACAAAAAAAAAAAGTGGAATTTTGAAAACGAAATTTGGGAATGTGTTTACAACTTGAAAGAAATTTGCGAAAGTTTTTTTTTTACGCGAGATTTTTTTTTTTACAACATAAAAATTATTGGGAATTAACACAAAAAAATGGGTTTTTTTTATCGGGGGGTGGGGAATAACGTCGCCAGCATTTTTCTGTGAACGGTCACCCCGGCCTGTGAAGCGGGCGGCGGAGTGTACCCCCCTTGGGGTTGATACGCACCGCGGTTTTAGCCGGCGGCGCGACCGCTGGGGTCGAACCCCACCACCACCACCACGGGGGGTAGGGGAACAACGGAAACCTCGCAACGCCACGTGTACAATAAATCTCGATTGTAATGATAATGTAACTTCGTTTATTCCACGTAACGTCAGAACGTCACGTCAGCGGTTACCCGATGTGCGATTTTAGTTTTCGTGTGGCACGGTCGTTTTTACGCAGCACTCTGTAGATTTGTCCGTGGTGTTTTCAGTGTTTGTGTGCGTGTGTGGGCTGTTGTTGTTGTTGTTGTTTTCTGGTGACGTCACGCACACACTCGCTGGGGTGTTCCGCGCGCTTGCGTGCGGTCGGTTACAATGCGCGGAGCGTTTCAGCTGGAGACGTCTTCATATATCGCTTGTGCTCTCTATATATACTGTGTATATATAGATAGGAGGGTGACTTCTGAAACGGATTTCTTGAGCCACACAGCCGACGAGCGTTAACGCGCAGGCAATTCACCTGCTCGTTAACAACCCACCCGCGTTCAAGCGTAGGTAATGTCACGTGCTCGGACGCGTGCTTTACGGATTCGTGCTGGGCACCTTTCGTTCATTTGCCTGTTGCTGTTGTTTCCACGCGTTGCACTACCAAACACGGACACACACACACGCGTGTCGGACAGTCGATGAATTTCAGTTTATTTATATGATGATGATGATAGTAGTAGTAGATACTTGTTGTGTTGTTTTTTATTTAATTGATTATGTTTACCCGGCATGCACTATGTCGCTGTGCTGCACTGCTGCGTGCCGAGACCCACGGCTGCCGTTCGTACGACGAATCGCGCACAAGCCATGGCCGCTGATTTGCACGAGGCGCGTTGCTTTGTGACGTCACAATGGATTGAAAAGCACAAGGAGAGAGAGAGAGAGGAGGGGGGTGCGGTGTAAGGGGGGGGGGGGGGGGCGAAACAAACAAATATTTATAAATTACGGTGGCGGTGGCGGTGACGCTTTTAGATGTTTGTGAATCTCGTGAGCGTTTCTCTATTTGTCATTTTACGAATCGTATTCGCGTTCTTCGCTGTCACGCAGCCGAGAGCGGCATTCATGTACGCTTACTTTTTTGCACGAATTTAATAAATTTTACATTTACAAAAGGACCCGATGACTGCTGTAATTAATTCTTACTCGGGCTGCCCTCCCCCCTCCCTTCCCTCCCCCCTCCTCCTTCTCCTCTTCGTCGTTTTGTCCTTTAACAAAACGAGGCATCAGGGGTTCCAACAAACCCATCCCTTCGCCACCAACCAACCCCTCACACCCCACCACCCACCCACCCACCCACCACCCACTCCCACCCCCTCCAAAAAAAGCCATGCATTTATTTTTCATCGTCCCCTCCCCCCCGAGCCTCGTTTCTCTCATCGGCGTTCTCCACCCAGCGTCCGAGTTGGCCTCGAGTTTCGCAGACGTTTGGTGAAGCAAAGGAGGGAGAGGAGAGGTGGGGAGTGGGGGTCCTTGCTACAACAAAATCTGGCGCGATTCCAACCATGCCCCCCCTCCTCCCTCCACCCCCGCGTTAAACTTTCACCTCGGACAGCCGATTTCATTTTCACGGTGCACAAGGGGCAAGCGGGAGGGGGGGCAGCATGAAACGTCGTCACCGCCGCCGCTAACCGGACACGTGATTTCTCTAAAGGGTACAAATTTCTGACGCTTTTGGGGACAACAATTTTTTTTGTTTGTTTCTTAACATTTTGTTTCCGCTCTCTCTCGCTCTCTCCCCTCTCTCTCTCTCGCACTTTCTGTGTAATATCGCCTAGCGAGGAGACGGGGAGAGAGAGACGGGGCCTTGACCGCGGGCTGGTGCCTTGCGATGTTTTTTGCCGCGAGAGGGGACAGCGGCGGATATAGGGGGTCCGATACCGTTGGCAGATTATTATTATTATTTTATATTATATTTTATTTTTATTAGTCTTGATTTGAAGCTTTCGTGACTGCAGGAATAATACTCTTTGGTTCTTTCGGTAAAGTCACGTAGGTAGAAATAAAAGAAAATAAAACTAAATATTTCTACCTACGTGACTTTACCCAAAGAACCAAAGAGTATTATTATTATTTTCATTTCCGATTTTTAAAAACCACAACAACAAATGCAGGACTCGTTCTGCATGGCTGTGCGTAATGCGGATTTTGGCTGCGAAGAAATCGCAGCCCGATTCGACCGGCGGATTTTTTTATATTTTGGGGGGTGCGGAGGAGGGAAGGATTGAACGCCGACACCAAACAATGGACACAATTTACGGAGTTGGTACCAAGGTGGTGGTGGTGGTGATAGTGGTATGGGGAGCGGTGGCATAGTGGTTAGCGCTCCGCGCTCCGAATCCGGCGACCCGAGTTCGATTCCCGCTCATGGCCAACAGCGGTGACGATTATTATCTGAACCGGTTCTGGGCCTCCCCTAGGTCGACTCGGCCTCAAAGGAGTGTGTACCTGGTTTCGGCGATGTAAAAACAACGCCACTGGGGAGACGAAAGGCTGCTGGGGGTGGTGCAGGCCTACCCACCCCCTCCATCTGCCGTGCCGATCTTCATAGGTGCTCGCTAACAGCACTTGCCGCACAAGTCTGTTAAGGCTACACGGGGGATCTCTGTCTTTGGTAATGGTGGTGGTTTTGTGCTGGCGGAAGGGGCCCCCCTCTCTACAGTTGCCCACACTTTACCCCACCACATACTACCTGCCGATCATCGCCTAACCAACTTACACAGACAGGGGGGTTAATAAAGTCGCTCCATTGTTTCAACTCCAAGTCCAATGTGCTGACCATTACATCATGGCAGCCGCCTCCTCTTCCTCACACACACACACACACAAGACAAAGATCCCCCGTATAGTCTGTAACAGACCGTTGGGGCAAGTGCTGTTAGCGAGTAGCACCTCTAAAGGCCGGCACGGCACAAGACAAGGATGGGTGGCCAACACCACGCCCGACCGCCTTTGTCTCTCCCCGGCGGCGACACATTTTACACGCCGTGTCAAGGGAGTTAAAGGCGCAGCCCTGCAATTGCTAGCTCAACAGTTTTACAGAGAGCCCCCCCACCTCCCTCTTGAGTCCACGCTGACCAGTACGGCTCTAGAACACATTAAAGTTGACAAAGAGTTACCCACACTTAACCCCCCCCACCTGCCCACCACCACGTGCGACCTACCCATCGACTGGGAACGGAACCGCGGTGAAACCCACGTGGCACCCGCTGGTCGGGTCGGCGGCGGTGGCTTACGGAGACCTCGCGCCGTCGTTTCAGCAAATTGCCGCGTGACGTCGAGCAATCGAGCCGCTTGCGTCAGCCGCCTAGTCGCCCCCTTCTCTCTCTCCGTCGATGTCTACTGCTGGATGGGGGCCTCCTGCCGTATCGCTGTCGTTTGACCGCGACTCGCTACGCCGCTCCGTGTGTGCCGGGTTGGTGGAGGTGGGCAGCTGAGACGCGTGGAGGTGGTGGTGGTGCGGAGATAAGTTGCGGTACCACAAATGCTTGCCCGTTCGTGCGCTTACCGGGCACAAACCGACCGCTGCTTTGCTTCGGAAATCTTCCATAAGGGAGGGGTTTTTGTGTGTGTGTCTGTGTGTGGGTTAGATTGCGGAAATATATAAATGTTGTGTCGTTAAACCCGCCACCACCCGACACGGCCAATTCGTGAGGTTCGTCACGTAAACAGAACGTGCCGATTCGTTACGAGTACAGCACTAGTGTATAGTGTAGTGTAGAGTGTAGTGTATCGTGTAGTGTATAGTGTAGTGTATAGTAGTGTATAGTGTAGTATACTAGTACAGCACTAGTGTATAGTGTAGTGTATAGTGTAGTATACTAGTACAGCACACCGATTTGTTGGAGAGCCAAGCCACAACAATTACAATCCGAGTACGACGTTTCGCCGAGGTTCAACGACACATTTATACATTTACGCGATCTCACCCAAACAAACCGTGCATTATGGATGATATTAGTCGCGAAAGTCTACCGCGTGTTTAGCTTCGGAGGGATCTTCCCTGGCGGTGCAGAGTCGCTGTGACGGAACGTGACCCCCCCACACACACACACCCCACCCCAAGCGCACAATTCACTCGGGCACTCGGCCTCATGCGTGAGTCTTACCTCTCCCCCCTCTACCCCTACTCCCACCCATCTCCACCCTCTACCCCCCCCCCCCTGCCCCCACACTCATCCCCTCTCTTCTCCACTCCCATATCTCTCCCACCTTTCCCTCCATCCCCTACTGATCTCCCTTCTCCCTCCACCCTTATTTTGCCTCTGTCTCTCCCTTCACCCGCTCTCTTCCCTTCTCGCTCCCCCACTTTCCTCTCCCCTCCCTCTCCTCCCTCTCGCCTTACCCCCTCTCCTCTCTCCCCCCTCTCCCCTTATATTTACTTCTCTCTCGGCGTTAACCCCCCCCCCCTTCTTTATCTCCATCTCCCCTCTATCCATATCCCCCGCTCCCTCCCCTCTCCATCTCCCCTTACCCTCCCCCTCCACTATCTCCCTCCCTCTCCACCCCCCTCCCCCCGCTCCTCCCGCTCCCCCTCCCTCCCCCCCCATTGCAGTCGGGCCCCCCCCAATCCACCACGCGCCCGACGACTTCAAGGTGATGTTCCCGGCGCGCACCAACTACATGTTTGTGCGCGCCAAGCGCTCGCTGCCCGAGCTGCATGCGTTCACCATCTGCCTGTGGCTGCGATCGGGGGGCCCCAGCTCTGGGACCCCCTTCTCCTACGCCGTGGACGACCAGCCCAACGAGCTGGCGCTCATGGAGTGGGGAAACAACCCCATGGAGCTCATCATCAACGACAAGGTGGCAACTCCCGCCTTCCCCCCCCCTAGCACGTTCTGCTGCTGCTGCTGCGTTTGTGCAAACACCGGCCACTGCCGCCACCACCACTGCTACTGCCACCACCACCACTACTGCTACCATCACTGCCACCACCATTGCTACTACCACCATCGATGCTCCTGCCATCGCCGCCACTGCCACCATCGTCAACGCTGCCACGACTGCCACCACCGCCACCACTGCCACCACCTCCGCCACCACCGCCACCACCACTATTACTTCCACCACCACCACCGCCGCCACTGCCATCGTCACCCACCACCACTACAGATACCATCACCGCCACCACCACCACCGTTGCTACTGCCATCACCGCCACCGCCGCCACCACCACTGCCACCTCCACCACCACCGCCACCACCACCGCCACCACCACTATCACTGCCATCACCGCCACCACTATTACTGCCACCACCACCACCACCACCGCCACCACCACCGCCACCACCACTATCACTGCCATCACCGCCACCACTATTACTGCCATCACCACCGCCACCACCACACTCAACACCCCCTTTAGGGCCCCCCCCCCCCGCCGTCCCCATCACCTCCAATGAATTACGAGAGGCCGTGCGGTGCAAGTGTCAATTTACTCGCGAGAAAGAAATCGCTGTCCCATGCAATGCAATTTGCAGTAAAAAAGAACAAAAGGACAGCACACGCGGTCAGTTTGACAAGTCGCTGTCATCCATCACCGGGGTTCCCACCTGTCCGGGTTTGACCCGGACGGTCTGACAATTGGCTTCGTCTGCGTGCCGGTGGCAGCAGGGAATTGATTTTGGCGACGGAGATCTGCTACCGGCTGTCGCTGTCGTTGAACATCAATGCCCGGATATGTCGCAGCGCCGCTCTGACAACAGACCCCGGGCGCTGGGTGAGAAACGTGTCCGGGGATTTGATGGGCGGAGATAGGGAGAGGTCACGTGAGAGAGGAGAGGTCACGTGAGAGGAGAGGTCACGTGAGAGGAGAGGCCACGTGAGAGAAGAGAGGTCACGTGAGAGAGGAGAGGTCACGAGAGAGAGGTCATGAGAGAGAGGTCACGTGAAGAGAGGTCACGTGAGAGAGAGGGGAGGTCACGTGAGAGAGGTCACGTGAGAGAGGTCACATGAGAGGAGAGGTCACGTGAGAGGAGAGGTCACGAGGAGAGGTCACGTGAGATGAGAGGTCACGAGTAGAGGTCACGAGGAGAGGTCACGAGGAGAGGTCACGTGAGAGACGAGAGGTCACGTGAGAGAGGAGAGGTCACGTGACAGAGGAGAGGTCACGTGAGAGGAGAGTTCATGAGGAGAGGAGAGGTCACGTGAGAGAGGAGAGGTCACGAGTGAGAGGAGAGGTCACGTGAGAGAGAAGAGGTCACGTGAGAGAGATTACGAGTGAGAGGAGAGGTCACGTGAGAGAGAGGAGAGGTCACGTGAGAGAGAGGAGAGATCACGTGAGAGAGAGGAGAGGTCACGTGAGAGAGAGGAGAGGTCACGTGAGAGAGGAGAGGTCACGTGAGAGAGAGGAGAGGTCACGTGAGAGAGAGGAGAGGTCACGTGAGAGGAGAGGTCACGTGAGAGAAGAGAGGCCACGTGAGAGGTCACGTGAGAAAAGAGAGGTCACGTGAGAGATGAGAGGCAAACGTCGGACGCAGTCTGCTGACACCTTCCCCCCCCCCCCACTTGCGGCCCCCCCCCGGGTCACGCGACCCCTACACGGCGTGCCCCTCTGCTAAACGAGACAAACGCGGACGTCGCCTTAATGGCCTCGCTTCACATCGCTCCGTGCAAACGAAACGCCGTCAATTTGCTCGTTTCGGCTGCGCGTGCCACGGCGATGCACGGGGGGGGGGGGGGGGGGGCGACTCCAATTAGCCAAATGAGTTCCACCTTCACCTGACTCGCTCCCTTCTTAATAAAGCCCGGCCACTACGGCTGGCGGGGCGGGGGGGCAGCTTGGGGTGTGTGCGCGCCTTTTAGCGTTGGCGTTGCGTGCGGAGCGGTGAGCGCTACGCTGCGCTACGAACCCGGCGACCCGATGTAACAGCACTTGCCCCAACAGTCCGTTAAGGCTATACGGGGGATCTTTGTCTTTGTATATGAGGAGCGGTGGTGTGGCGGTTAACGCGCCGCGCTATGAACCCGCCGACCCGATTTTCCACTCCCGCTCACGGCCAACACCGGTGACGATTATTTGAACCGGTCCTGGGCCTCCCCTAGGTCGACTCGGCCTCAAATGAGTAACTGGTGCGGTGTGTAGTAAACATCGCCACTGGGGAGACAAAGGCGGCCGGGCGTGGTGCTGGCCACCCACCCCCTCGTGTGCCGTGCCGGCCTTCATAGGCGACTCGCTAACAGCACTTGCCCCAACAGTCTGTAAAGGCTATACGGGGGATCTTTATCATTTAATGTTGACGTTCACTGAGTGGGAAGCATAGCTGGTACATCTGCCAGTGTCGTCACCAGGGCCCCTTGTGCCAGGCTAGGTGCACCGTGAGGTTCGTTGCTTGGCAGGAGGTCACAGGACAGACCCAAAGTGCCGTGGGTTCACTGACTCAGATGTCTGGCAAATGCACAACCCTGTGCTAAACCACCGTGGCATTTAGCTGCGTTTTATCCGCCCGGCACTTCGCTCGTTGTTGTGAGCATCGCTCCTCCGCCATATTCTGTTGCCCAGTAGCGTCCTTCACGAACCTCCTCCTCCTCCACAGATCTTGTCCACCACTGGTACCGGTCATCCTCCCACCCACACCTCCCCATGTAACCTGCTTGGCCAGGGATCGTTTTTGTTGATTGTTGTTGATTGTTGTTGTTGATTGTTGTTGTAACTTGCTGACAGCCCCCTAACTGGATATCTGTGAGGAGAGAGGACCGAGAGAGCTTAATAGCATATCAGATTTCTCCTCTACTCTACATGACGAACAGGACATCTTTGATAATTTATTTTCCGTAGTTTACAATTAAGATTTTTTAAAAAATTATTAGATGCACCTGCGATCCCTGATGTCAGGGGCAAGCGAACCCCTGCCTCCAGCCCCCTCCCCAAATGTAGAAGTCAAACTCCGCCTTCGATTCTAACGCACGCGCGCGTGCGCGTGCCACCGACTGCTGCTGTTGTTGTTGTCACGTGACACCGACTGTTGTTGTCACGTGCCTTAATCAAGTTGTCTTATGGTTGTTGTTGTTGTTGTTGTTTGACTTGCATCCCACTGGGATTTTTGCACACAGCGTTGGTGTACGGTGTTTTTTTCTGCAATATTTTTCTGTCTTTTGTTCGATTTTCTGTTTGCACTTAGTCACATATTCACTTTAAGATGTTTTTTGTTCATGTTTCCGTTTTTTGTTTGTTGCGGTTGCACCCGATTCAAGAGCCGAATGGCTCACAGGGCTATACCTCATAAATTAACTTGAAACTTGAAATGAACTTGAACCAACTGTTGTTGTTGTTGTTGTCACGTGACACCAACTGTTGTCGTTGTTGTCACGTGCCGCCGCAACCTCGTGGTTCACCGCCGTCCGTCCGTCCGCGCGCGCAGATCGCGCGGCTGCCCGTCAGCGTGAGCGACGGCCGCTGGCACCACCTGTGCGTCACGTGGAGCACTCGCGACGGCGTCTGGAAGGCGTTCCAGAACGGCGCCTACCGCGGCACCGGCGAAAACCTCGCGCCCTGGAGGCCCATAAAGGCCGGCGGCGTCCTCATCCTGGGCCAGGAGCAGGTGCGGTTGGGGGTGGGGGGTGGCGCGGGAGGTGGCTCGCACCTGAGGCTCGGGGTGGGTGGGTGGGTGGGGGGCTACGGAGAGAAGGAGGAATGGGATAGTGGGGGGGGGGGGGGAGAGTGCGTTTTATTCCGTACTGCGTTGTGGTTGACGTTCTTCACATTTGAGGGTTGGGTTACTCCCTCGCTCCTCCTCCGCTGATCTGGACCCTCTCTCTTCTACCTCTCTCTCTTTTCTACCTCTCTCTCTCTCTTCTACCACTCTTTCTCTCTCTCTTCACCCTCTCCACTGCCTATTCTTGTCTCTCTCTCCCTCCCCCACATCTCCCCCCCCATCTTTTCCATTCCCCATTCTCTCTCCTCCCCCACGTCTCTCTTTCCCCTCCATATCATCCCTTACCCCCCAATCCTCTCTCTCTCTCTATACCTTCCACCCCCTATTCTTATCTGCCCCGATATCTCTCCATCTCTGTTTCTCCCTCTCTCCCTCCATATCTGCCCCCTCCGTCTCATCCCTCACCCCCAATCCTCTCTCTCTCTATATACTCTCTACCCCCTCCCCCCACATTCTCATCTTCTGTGTTGTTAAACCCGCCACCACGGGACACAGCAAATCTGTAAGGTTTGTCACGTAAAACACAACGTGCCGATTCGTTACTAGTTGAGCGTGTTGGAGAGTGAACCCACTGCAACATCTGCATCTTGTGGGTTCACCACTGTTGGCACCGTGGTCGTGGCCTCTCTCCATGCCTGTCAACCCCCTTATCGGTGCCCTACCTTGTTACAGACCTTATCGGTGACTCCGTGCCCCTCTTATAAATCTCAACGTTCATCCTGCAAAGTCCCATCACAAGGGTAGAAGAAACACAATGTCGCCCGCATTGAAACGGCCGTACGCCGTATGGACCTGGAAACTCAATTTCCCTGCGCAAGAATTCGGGGTAAACCGTGCGTGTCGACGCTGCATGCGAATCTCTCGCTCTCTTTGCGTGCGCGCACCCCCGCGCAGGATGTGGTGGGCGGAAACTTCGACGCGACGCAGGCGTTCCTGGGCGAGATGGCGCAGTTCAACGTGTGGGATCGCGAGCTGCTGCCAGACGAAATCATGGAGCTGGCCACGTGCTCGCGCTCCTTTTCGGGGAATGTCGTCGCCTGGACCGAGGACGCCATCGACGTCCACGGAGGCCTCACCCACCACCCGTTCGGCCGCTGCTCCTCCGTGCTCTCCAACTTCTGACCCTACGACGACGACCTTTGACAATGGCCCATTGGTGATGACCCTTGATGATGCCCTTTGATGATGACCTTTGATAATGACCCATCACATTGACCCTCGATTATGACCTTTGATGATGATCAGCTCTGCTAATAACCTTTGATAATGACCCCCGATGATGGCCTTTGGTAATGACCTTTGATGATGACCTTTGATGACGACCAATCAGAATCGTCATTTAGACTGCACGAGGAATCCGATGAGATGCAAAGCTCTTTTTGTCACAGATGTCCAGTAGGAGAATGACCTGTTGATAATGACCTTTGACCCTGACAATCGACGTTCATGGAGGCCCCCGGCCCGCTCGGACGCTGCTCCGCAAGGCTGTCCTAACCCTTAATGCTGACCTTTCACGATGACCTTTGATGACCTTTTGACGAGCACCTCTTGAGCTGACGTTCGATGGCCTCCACTGCTGATCTCTGATGCTCACCTCCAAAGTTGACCTTTGGCATTCTTACTCTCGATAACGCCCTCCGATACCGACGATGAACGCTAACCGGTAGAGCTGACCCTTGCGGGTAACCATTGACAACTTCGATCGTGACCCACCACAATAGGGCGCTGACCTCCTGAGCTCGACGCTGAGCCACGCGACCTTAACATCGAGTCCTCACCGTCGTCCCGACCTCCGCCCCCGGACTTGAACCCCGTGAGCCTGACCATGCCCACCACTGCACCCGCCATAATTTTGACGCCGACCTCAGCCTCAACTTTGACATCTACCCCCCCCCCCCAATTGACCGTGACCTTGACCTCGACATTTCCCCCACCCCCTCAACCCGCCCACATTTTTTCACACTGAACTCGACCAGACCCTGACCCTGAACTGACCTGACCTTGCCACAGAACGCCCCACCAACACCCCCCCCCCCCCCACCACCTCCACGCCGGCATCGGTTACAACCCTGACTCGCAACCCTGACCCCCTGACCTCGACGTCACCCTCGACCTCAACTCCCACCGCAACAACTCTTCCTCACCGACCGGGGCGGTGACGACGCCGTTGGGTTCGCCCTCCCGCCCTCGTCTCACGACTCCCCCGGCGCGGGGAGGCTCCCTCGCTACGCTGGGACGTCGCGCGCCCCAGGAGTCCCGGACGACGATCGCCCGCTCGATCGCGGTTAGGGAAAACACCGGCAGTGTGTATGCGCGCATGTGTGTGTGCGCGTGTATGCGCATGTATGCGCGTACGTACGGTTGAACTTTCTTTCGTTCGCACCGCACGTAGCCAACGGCGCCAATCGGAGGTAGCGGTGGTAGCGGATAACGCGCAAGCGTCCCTTAACGACTCGGGGGTCAGCGGCCCACTTGCTGTGCTGCTGCCGCTGCCGCCGGATGGCGCCGCCGAATGTTTGGTTTTCCCGCGCGCCGCACGTCGTCGTCGTCTTTTGCAACGTTCCACCAACGTCCGGCACCGTTGAGTTTGGAGAGAGATGTTTGGGTGGAGGGGGGGTGGAGGTGCCGGGCGCGGAGGAACTTCTCAAACGACGCGACGACTGTTCAGGCCGCTCGCTTGCAAGCGACAGATTTATTTCTTTTTTTTTCTTTTTTTCTTTCCCCGGGCAGCCCCAGCGGCATTCGTTTAAGGGAGCCAAAGCCCTGCTGATGAGACTCGGTCCGAGTGCTCATACCCCACCCTCGTTTCATATTTACAGAGCTCGCGCGCGCCTTGAGCTCAAGGCGCGCGCGCTCTCTGTAACGTAGTTGCACAACAAAAAACGTGAACAAACGAATCGAGTGATCGGGATGCAAGGGCCGAGTGAATGAGCGGCCGTAACAGAGGGCGCACGATAGGGCTATAGGGGAGGGACGGGAAGGAGCGGAGGGGCGAGGGGCGAGGAAAGATGGAAGGCCAGGGCAATGGAGAAGAGGCAATGGGGGCCGACTCACCGACTCACCGACTCACCGACACACCGACACACCGACACACCGACTCACAGACACACCGACTCACCGACTCACCAACACACCGACTCACCGACTCACCGTCCCACCGCTTTGTCTCCCAATTAAACAAATGCCGCTGGTACCAACGCCGACGTCGCTGAGATGCCACGTGGTCGACCGCGTGGCATTGTGGAGCGACGAACAACGCGCGGACGGACGATTGTTTGTTTCATTTCGGTCGGCGCGGCGTCCGACGTTTCGCCCCGCCCCCCCCGGCGCTGCTGCGGGGGGCGGTAAACGCGGACGGGGGAAACGCCGGGCGCTCGCCTGCCCAACGACACGGAGCGCGTCGGCAGAGCGAGAGCGCGCCGTGGAGCGCACGCCGGGGGGTTGCGTTCGGAGCCACCGGGTGTCCGTTCCGTTGTGTCACCGGACATCCGTACACGCGGCGATTTATCTATTGATTTAATAGTTATTTATTTATCTGTTTACTTATCTATTTATTTACCTATTTATTTATCTATTTATTCCCGTTCATTTGTGAATTTATTTCGCTCATTCCGGGAATCGCCGCCGCGGTGAAATGGTCAGCGCCACTCAGAATCAGAATATTGATTTACACCGGAGGAAGCTATAAAGCTCTTTTTCCACAGATGTCCGGTCGGGACCGGCTTGCGACCCCCCCCCCTCCCCCCCCGGGGTTTCGTGCGGGGTTCGTGAGTCGATCTCCCGGCGCGGCAGTTGAGACGATGGCGCGTCACCGCCTCCGTTCAGCCGGCGGCATGAGCGGATGGGTTCGCCGCGGTTTGTCGCGCGGGTCGGGGCAAAAGTGTGGGTCACTCCCCACCTCCTTTGTCTACCCCCCCCTCCTCCTCCCCCTTACGTGGAAACGTCCGGCCGACGTTCAGCGAAAAAGAGAGAGGGGGGGCGGGGGGGGGGCGCGTGGGAGGGAGAGGGTTGGCCCCGTCCAGTGAGCGGCAGTGGCGCGTGCGGCATGCGCTTGCATGGCTGCGTCTTTACCCTTTCGCCGCTCGCGTTCGTTCTGCTCGCTCGGAAGAGCTGGCAAAAGTGTGGGGGGAGGGGGGGGGGGTTTGGCGGAGCGTAGACCCCCCCTCGCACGCGCCGGTCGACGATCGATTTGTCGAAAGGAAATATCTATGTATAAAATAATAATAATAACGATTTGGCTTTTCGTTCGTGGAGAAGCGAATGATTGACAGCAGTAGCAGTGGCCGCCTTAATGCACTCGTGGTTAGAAACAGCACCTTGCCCTCTGCCAGGGGGGCGGGCTACGAATGCTCGCGTAGCCCTCGCACTAACCTCCTCCTCTTGCATGGTTTTTATTTTTGTCCGGACACAACTTTCAAGCGACAAACTTTTGCACTTTTGCGGCGAATTGTTCCCCCTTATCGTCTGATTGGTTGGATTCGGTTTTTGTGGGGAGGGGGGAGAAGGGCAAGGGGAGGGGGGATAAGGGGCGGGGCGGGGGGTGTGACGGACGGAGACGAGTGACGTCGACGTCGTCGATTGTGACGTCGACATCGTCGATTGTGACGTCGTTTGGAAATGATTGTTTGAACCGTGAGCTTTGTTTAAAACGAAGCGGGGGGGGGGGGGTTCGGCATTGTTTAAAAGTGGAGGGCCGTATCAAAACTCAGGGGCGGGTGGGGTGGTCGGGGGGGGGGGGGTTAGCGGCACGACACAGACAATGTAAAACAAATAAACTTTCAAAGAATCTCAAACGCAAAACGCGACGAGCCCAAGACAGATGCGTAGTGTTCCAAGGTGACGGGTGGGTGTGGGGGGCTCAAGGCCCCCCCCCGTTACAGTCAAGCTGACACATGCTGTTATAATATCTACAATATTTTACAGCAACGGTGACTTTATTTTATTATTTTGACGTCGCGGTGAAAATGTGTAAAGTTGAGCGCTGAATCCTTCTGGAGTGAGGGGGGGGGGGGCTCGGCCCGGCTTTAGCCATACCCCCCCCCTCCCCCACCCCTCCCCCACCCCTCCCCCACCCCTCCCCCACCCCTCCCCCACCCCTCTTCGTCACTTGCACAGCTGCTAAGCAATATCACTCGGCTCTATCGTCACGAATATCTGGCTCCCACCGCGGATTATTATTATTTGGGGGGGGGGGGGGGGGGCTGGGTCGGAAGAATACAAATCTAAAACGTCAAAGTTAACAAGAGCATTTCACAGCGGCTGCACAGACTGCAAAACGTGAATTGGTAAAGTGGGCGCGCGTCAAACCGCAGTTCATCGTGAACTGAGAATTGTTTACACTGCACGTGGGGAGGTGTCTTCTTGGTGGCCAAAGGCCTCGCGAGGGACGGCGAGAGAGAGGTGAAGCGAGGTGGAGCGAGATGGTGGAGTGGTGGGACGCCCGGTTAGCGCGGCCCCTTCTCAAACGTGAACTGGCGAGTGTTTTGATACAATAGTCCGAGTGCCGGTTGGGAGACGCGTCTTGGATTGGGTGGATCGTGGCATAGCTGGCAACCTTGCCGCACAACCACCATCCCACTCAGCGAGCCACGAGCGTTGCCACATCTCCAGGAATTCGCATCTCTCATCGGGTCGCAGCAGCAGCAGCAAGATATTCGCAACCGAGATGTGATACCGACCTCGCCGTGCTGAACTTTACCCGAGCTGATGCCACGCCGTTTTTTTTATTGTGGGCCGATAGACCTCGCGCTGACCAAGAACATCTCTACGTTGTGTTTGGTCCGGGGGTCCAAAAAAAAAGCCAAAAGGGCGAGTGCATCATCTTCGTTCCGCGCGTTGCCGACCCCGCACACATCACAGAGGGCACGTCGGCCCGGTGACTCCCGAAGACGCGGTGACTTCTTGTCATCGCGAGGCCTCGCGAACGCGACGCGACTCAACCAAAACAAAGAACAAAACAATCTCAGCTCGCGCACGGGAGAGAGTTTTCCTGGCCGTTGCAAGCGACCCCCCCCCCCCCCCCAGCCTCTCGGCGCGAGTTTCATTCGCGGAGGCTTAACGAGAATAACCAATTCCGTCTGAAATGGAACGGAAGTTTTTTTGTTGTTTAAGTTCGGGGCCTCAGGCCGCGGCGATGCATTGACTCGTCGTCCGGGATGTCCCTCGATCGACAAGACTCAAGTGGGGGGGGCTACCCCTTCACTACCCCCCGCACCATCACCGCACCCCCCCCCCAATGTGCGGGATTGTGGTGGGTGGGGGAGGCGTTAGCTATCTAGGGGTGTGCAGGCGGTGCAACTGCCCTGGCGAGAATTGGCCAGAGGAGCCGCGCGGGGGGGGAGGGGGGGGGAGTGCGCGGCTATCCTCCTTAGCAGGCGTCGGGATACAAAGACGGAGGTGTGTGGGGGGGGGGGGGGCAGCTGGATGTGGGGGGGGGGGGAGTGGGGAGTGGAATTGAACAGGGGACCACATTTAATTTCTTGCACCGGAGCCCAAGCCGGCAGAGTAACTACGCAGCTGTGGTAAATACGAACCGAGAAGCTTCCAGTTACAAGTTCTATACCCGATCCAGCTCTCGAAGAGCTCTCTCTAGAGCTGCCTCTGGTGGAGTCCTTCCGCCAGCAGTGGCGTGAGCAAGCAATTGCAGGGCTTGCGCCTTTACCGCGTTTTCTACTCACCCAAGGCGGTGCTGTAGCGATGCTCGTTTGTGTGTCGTTCTTGCGATAAATGTTGTTAACACACGCAAAAAAAAAAAAACACCAAAAAAAATAAACATGGTCCGTCACAGGGACTTTCCGTTACAGACCCCCCATCAAGTATTACGGACAGGGATTGCCACCTGCCCAGGTGCGAGTATTGGTCTTTGGATCCTCTGTGTGTTTCCGGGGTGGCAGCAGCAGCAGCAACAGCAGCAGCATGTGTTGCTTTGCTGCCGAGATCTGAACTTGACTGCACAGTTGTCGCAACAGGCGCAGTGCTGGTCGGAGTGGACAAGCATGGTCGTCCGACTCAACACCTACCCAAGTTAGGGGTTGCCACCTGTTCTGCTTTTCCCCGGAATCCTCCTCTCGCTGTACCCGGGAAATCTGCGAGTCTTCGCGGTGGCGTGTTAGCTACAGTACTTCCCCGCTCGTTGGCAGTGGCGTAACGGCAGACGGCTACAACGACGACGAGAACCAATTGGGAATGACACACGGGACGTCCATCTCACTCTGCCCGTCCATTCACGCACTCACCCACACGGGAGGACACCGCGAGACACGGAAGCTGGCGATTGGTCGTTACCATCACGAGCGGTGCCGTTCCATCGCCTACCCCACCCCCCATCGTTCCGCAACCACTCGCTCCGGGTGTGGTACAAAGCAGTTGCTGTGATAGATAGATCGTTTATTGTCATTGTCACCAGTACAACGAATTAAAATGCTCACCAGTCAGGGCATCTTCATAAATTTAAATAAAACAAGAAAATAAAAATTAAATTAAATGCTTGCGGCGGCTACGATGGCGATCGTTTCGCCGTGTCGGCTGTAGTTCCCACCCCTCCCCTCCACCCTCCCCCGGGGGTGAATTTTCAATCTTGCTCCGGATTTATAAGAGTTTGGTGTGGCGGCGGTCGTTAATTGGGTCGCGCTGGGGAAATTGTGTCACCCATTCACAACGCCGATTTCGAAGAATAACGCCGAAAGTGCAATAACGGTGACGGTAAATAGAGCGATGAGGGGGAGAGGGGAGGGGGAGAAGTGCGTTTTATTTCTATAAACTTAACGCTAAGAAAAAAAAATAACTCCCTTATTCATATGAATATATTTAAAAAGCCACAACAAAAAAACTGAAACAAAACGTAACCATAAAAGAAAGAGAAAAAAAAATCGCAAAAATCACTTTTGAACAAAAAAATATTATAGGCGACGCCAAGGTTGACTAGTTTATACGTTTATATTCGGTGTAGTGATTGTGCTTCCGTGAGCATGCCTGAAGCATGACGCATGGCTAATCGTTACCTGAGCCACTACCTCAATCACTCCCCGACTCGCCTGACCGGCCGTGGGGTGAACCGCTAACCCACATCACTCACCAATTCACTCACCAATTCGCTCACCAATTCACTCACCAATTCGCTCACCAATTCGCTCACCAATTCATTCACCAACTCGCTCACCAACTCGCTCACCAATTCGCTCACCAACTCGCTCACCAACTCGCTCACCAACTCGCTCACCAACTCACTCGCTCACCAACTCGCTCACCAACTCACTCACCAACTCACTCGCTCACCAACTCACTCACCAACTCACTCACCAACTCACTCACCAACTCACTCACCAACTCACCAACTCACTCACCAACTCGCTCACCAACTCACTCACCAACTCGCTCACCAACTCACTCACCAACTCACTCGCTCACCAACTCACTCACCAACTCACTCACTCACCAACTCACTCACCAACTCGCTCACCAACTCGCTCACCAACTCGCTCACCAACTCGCTCACCAACTCGCTCACCAACTCGCTCACCAACTCGCTCACCAACTCGCTCACCAACTCACTCACCAACTCGCTCACCAACTCACTCACCAACTCGCTCACCAATTCGCTCACCAACTCGCTCACCAACTCACTCACCACCTCGCTCACCAATTCGCTCACCAACTCGCTCACCAACTCGCTCACCAACTCGCTCACCAACTCACTCACCAACTCGCTCACCAATTCGCTCACCAACTCGCTCACCAACTCACTCACCAACACTCGCCACCACCACCACTCTCCGCTCCACTCTCCTCCTCGACTCCCTCTCTCTCCGTCCCCTACTGCTCCCCCGTCTGTGGGCGAATGTGTGTCCAGGGTTATAGGTGGGGCTAGGGTTAGGGTCTGGTTGGCTAGAGCGGTTATGTGGTTAGGGTTAGTGTAAGTAGAGATGTCATTGGGGCTAACATGGCTAGG